GAAGTGTAGAAAAGATGAATTCCTTGCTTGTGACAATTGCATTAATTAGTCAAACTGCTGGACCCCATCCACCAATATCACACTTTCAGATTGAATAGCCACAAAATACAAAGGCATTTTACAACTGTACCTGTTTTCTTTATCTCATTGTAATTTCCATCAAACCCCTAGCACTAAATTCAATATTTACAGAGTTACAAGTACCATGACCAAGAGAGATCCTGCCTCAAATATTGGGAGGAGGCTGCAGCAGTGGCAGCCCAGCTGAAGACAAGGCTGGAAAGTGTTTTCACACACCCACACCCCCTTTCTGATACAGGGTTTCTCTCTTTTCCCCAGGCTGGAGTACACTGGAGGACTTATAGCTCACCACAATCTAGGACTCCTGTGCTCAAGCGATCCTCCTGCCTTATCTTTTTGAGTAGATGGGACTACAGACACGTGCCACAATGACCAACTAATTTTAAAAATTGTGTAGAGCAGGGGTCTCACTATGTTGCCCAGGCTGGTCTTGAACTCCTGGCTTCAAGTGATTCTCTTCCCTCAGCCTCTCAAAATACTGGGATTACAGGTGTGAGCCTCTGCATGTGGCCCTTTTCTCACTTTTTTTTTTCCTTATCTAAGGCTTAAGGTTTATCTAAGTCTTTGTTCCAGCCCAGGAAATGATTTTTTCCCCTCCCACTTTAAAGGAAGGAGCAATTCAAACGTTCGGGATTTTTGGCCTACTGGAAGTTTATTGGCAACAATTGTGTCCTGTCTCTACCTGCCTGCAGGAGAAAACAAAAATTGAAGTCAACACCAGGGCACACTTTTTCTCCATGCATTATCTTGTGCACAACAGTGGTTGATGGATCCAGTGAGCCAGTTCTCTTGTAGTTGGAGGGATTATTGTTAAATGCTGTGAGTACATGTATTTTTCACAAAAGACAAGAGCTCAGCTGTTGCTTCATACTATGGGGGAATCCATAGTCCCCCAGGACTCTCCTCTTTCACTCTTCCTTTATTCAAACAAGGCTTCCACCATATTGTAGTGAGTCAGGGTCTTGCTGGTGACTCACATGGTTGCTGCCACTGTGTCAGGGATCCCCAAGGCCACCCTCACCTTCAGTGATTCACAGACATTTTCTGCTGCTCTTCTGCATACAATACTCCTAACTAAAGCCAGCACCCTCTCCTCAGGTCAGTATACCATGCCTCCCACCTTGTCACGGGCTTTGGTCCTACAATGATCACTCCTCTCTCCTGAACCATCAACTGCTCCCTCTACATTGGATCATTCCCCAAGCTATGGGAAAACTCACCTTCTTCACCCATATCCTTCTGTAGTTACTAACACATTTAACTCTTGCTCTGCAAAGGAAAACTGTATGAACTTATGCAACACACTTCACTGGAGTTCATTTTCAAAATTATCTACAAAGGAAAATGAATTAGAATATCCAAAACAATTCTGAAGTAGAACTTTGGGGAATTCACCTTACATGATATCAAGATTCACATTAATTCTATTTTGTTTATTGATTGATTATGTTGTCAGTGCATTGGAAGAAGGTGACTTCCTCTTTTTTTAGCCTAAGGATTGCTCCAATATGGAGGGAGCCATTGATGGTTCAGGAGAGAGGAGTGATCACTGCAGGAGCGATGCCCCTGAGAATATGGTAGACATGCAATCCTCAGCTATGGTGAGGGTGCTGCATTGAGTCAGGAGAATTGCAAGAAGTTGTTGATTATGATTTTTAATCATCCAGCCCCATATGGCAATTGTGTTACTTCTCCAGTATTCAAGACAGTGTGGTGTCGTGGAAAAATCAACAGATCAAAATAGAGCCAGCAATAGACTCACAAAGCTAATAATTTGATTTTCAGAAAAGTGGCAAAGGCAATGGAGAAAGATTATCTTTTTTTAAAAAAAATTGTGTTGTTTTCTCCTGTCTTGTGGCCACTACATTGTTTTTATTCCTCTGGTTCCCTTCCCTTTGTTTCTCCTTTGCACTTCACCTGCTCTTCTGTTTGTCTGTCTGCCCTACCACACTATGATGTTTCTCACAGCAAATACCATGTGTCTTTGTGATATTTGACATGTCCAACTGATCAATGATAAACCAGATTGAGAAAAGGTGGTACATATACACCATGGAATACTATGCAGCCATAAAAAGAATGAGATCTTGTCCTTGGCAGGGACATGGATCATTGTGGTGGCCATTGTCCTTAGCAAACTAATGCAGGAACAGAAAACCAAATACCGGACATTTTCACTTATAAGTGGGGGCTAAATGATGAGAACACATGGACTCATGGGAGAAACATCACTCACTGGGTCCTACTGGAGGGCGGGGGTGGGAGGAGCAAGAGGATCAGGAAGAATAGCTCGTGTATGCTGGGTTTAATACCTGGGTGATGTGATGATGTGTGCAGTAAATCACTGTGGCACACATTTACCTATGTAACAAACCTGCACATGCTGCACATTGTACCCCTGAAAGTAAAGTAAAACTTGAAAATAAAAAAAGGCAATATCTCAGAATCTTTCTTTCTATCTCTAGGTCATTGTGTCATTTATCTAAGCCTTATAGTGACATAAAAGCTGAGGCATAACAACAATTAGTATGATTGGCAATTTACCAGGATTATAGCTCAGTATGATCAAACATCAACTACTAATATTGAATTACATTGAACTCCTCTAAGTATTTAAAGAAAGTTGGTAAGAAATCACTATCTCCCATCTCCCATTCTTTGAGCACTTCTGAGTGCACTATATTAAAAACTGGAGTTAATAAGAAACAAAAGAAAGTAAAATTTAATAATGATAGTGTGCTTGCCAAGAAAAAATAAAAAGATAAAAGGTAAATTTAATAAGAGATCATGATTACAACTGCTCTCACTTTTTAAAAATCTTTTTGAAACACCACAATTCCTACTCAAGTTGCTTTTGAGAGACAGAGAGAGATTGAGCTACCTTTCTTTTCCAACTCAAGGTATTTCCCTGAAAGAAGCCCAGCTAGAGGAACAATATAGGCATCATTTCAGCAGTATATTGTAATTTGTTTATAAAAGGCTGCATTCTGATCAGGGCCCCCTTTCTATCCTCTCTTTCCATACACTATTTCCCACATTAAACCGCTAAAGAATACAAAGGTAATGAGAATAGGAATCATGTCCACAGCTTACTGTCTACCTTAAGGAGATTTTATACTCCACTGGCTTCATCAACATAACTTTACTAATGCAGCGATCTCTTGCCTAGGAAAATAAAAGTTGCAAAGAACTTTACTGTTCATTTCAACAGCTGCCTAAAAGATCCATCAATTCTTCAGTCAAAAGTGTCAAACAACATTTTTCAATAACAAAACTCATTGAATCATTGCCTAAAAATCTTTGTCTTCTTGGCTCCACCAATCCTGAATCATTTTGATTCCTACCTACCTTTAATCAAACAATCCCCCACTTTAAAAAACCCACTTTACACCAGATTTCAAAATCAGAATAAATATACTGAAATCCCTTCAACGTCTGACATACTAGTGCCTCTGTCGAGGTAGTGCTCTCCCTTACAGCATTATGCAAATAATGTCAGCCCTGTCTTATGAACAGGCTATTTAGCTGATATTTGGAGAGTACAGTATATGATCCAGTTAGTCACCACTGCTTTGCATCATGGCGCCTAGATCCTGTCATCAATATGTATGTATATTTCTGAATCAAAATACATGATCTGAATGACCTACAGGTATATTCAGGCAAATCAGTCACTAGCCCAGAGATTTAAATGTGCAAAAACACACCCCCACAAAAATTAAGCATGTGTGAATATATTTAGTCTGCAGAAGAGTATATTCCATTACATTCATTAGAAGCATGGCAGAAAACTGAGAACCAGAGGAATAACGTGATTAACCAAAGCATGTATAAAAATTTGTCAAGGTGGCAGGATCGCTTGAGCCCAGGAATTGGAGAACAGCATGGAAACAGACTGGGAGACTACACTCTAAAAAGTAAATTAATTGTCCAGGTGTGGTGTTCGCACCTGTAGTACCACCCATCTGAGAGGCTGCAGCATGGGGACTATTTGAGTCCAGGAGATCCACGCTTTGGTGAGGTATGGTCATCCCACTTCCATCCATCCTGGGTGAGAAAGTGACACCCTGTATGAAAAAAAAAAAAAAAAAAAAAAAAAGCTTTTATAAATAAATAAAGAGAAATAGTTTATTTCTTTTACAACAGGTTTTTCTGAGACACATCCTCCTTTAAGTGTCCATTAAGGGTGACAAGGGACAGTGTGTTCCAAACGTTTCTCAACGCATGAGATTCTTTGGGCAAAGAAAAACTAAAGCTCCCTTAAGTCTCTTTCTTTCCACTACTACAAACACCTTGTGGATGAGGGTATGAGAACAGCAGGAAAACCATGATCTGCCCTGCAGGTAGCCGACTCAGTGGGCATGCCCCTTGCTAAGCAAGTTCCTGCTGCCCGTGTGCCTTGCTGTCTGCCTTCTGTCCCTGCAGAGCTGTGGAAGGAAACGTCATGACTACTTTCTTGGGAACTATGACACAGCAAATCAGTCCTCCCAGAAATTGAAGTGCCAGTGAGTGTGAGGGAAAGTGGAAGGGCTTCCCATGGGTTGGACCACTAGGTCCACGGCCTCATAGAGGTCGTCATCCTTCTGCTAAAAGGCAGTGACATCACCATGGCCTTGCTGTTTTGGGGTCCTGGGCAGGGGAGGAAGTAAGGCCATAGAGGAGAGGAGGGTCAGATGAACATGGAATGAATTGAAGAGTGACATTGTTTGGGGTATTTCAGTCTCAGAGGCATAAAAAAACCACACAGAGAGGATGGATTCCAAAGTCCTTAGTGGGGACCTTGGAAGGAGCAGAGGACAGGGCATGGGGGCACAAGGAAGGGCAGTGCAACTCTTAAGGCAAGAGGGGACCTCACTGCGCATGCTCCTGTGGTGTCCGTTTAGTGCGCATGTTCACTGGGCGTCTTCCCATTGGCCCCTTTGCCCACGTGGTGAACTCCGTGGAGCTTGAGCCTGCAGCTAGTGTCCCTGAGGTCTGGATTCTTTCTTCCTTACGGAGAGGCGGCAGGTAGGTCCACAGGCTGATCCAACTGGGAGTTGAAGTGTGTGTGAGAGTGGGGAGGAACCAGCTGGCTTCTGGAGGGTCGGGCTGTGTGATTGGTGACTGAGTGAGAAGGGCCTTGATGTTGTCGTCCTTCCAATGCGGTCCCGCAACTATGGGTCTTCTTGTCTTGTCGGGGTCAGAAGGAAGAAGGAGGGCCTCAGAGTGGGAGAGGGATTAGGGGAAGCTGGGGCAATGCTGGGTTGTTGTTGTTGGCGGTATTCCAGTCCCAGAAACGCTTGGAACTTGCAACAGAAGTTGACTCCCCAAGACTCCCCAAGTTGGATCAGGCCTGGAATGTCATGGGCAGTAAGGAAGGGGCCTGGAAAGTGGGAACACTCCGGGCTGGTGACTGTGTGACCCCAAGGTTTGTATAACGAACCGCAGAGGTGCCCACCCGGTGAGGACCGCCCAGTGTTATGTGGCAACTTCTCAATTCCATCTTGGAAGTTCGAATGGGCGGGCAGGGCTCTGCATTCCAACACAACTCGATTTTGGGGAGGAAATAGGCCTAACAAATGGGTGTGTGACAAAAGCACTGGGTAATTTAATTTTAATTCTCAAGCTGTATTTTCCTAAATGTCTCACAATGGAGAGTCCAATTATGAAACCAAACCACATTGGAATAACCGTGTGCCTCCTGCCATAAGCCCCAAGGCATTGCTCAGCTAGCTTGACAAACATATGTGACTGTGCAAGTATTCGATTCTGAAAGCATACACACTTACACATGCTTTCTGACTTACTTTTCAATGTTTTACTAAATTTTTAAAAGTTTCAAGTTAACATTTGGAAGTGCTCAAATGTAGTATCCACTTATGTGCATTCTTCCATCACAGTATCCTGTTTTTTGTTTTGTTTTGTTTTGGTTTGGTTTTTTGAGACGGAGTTTTGCTCTTGTTGCCCAGGCTGGAGTGCAATGGCGTGTTCTCAGCTGGCTGCAACATTCGCCCCAGGGTTCAAGCGATTCTCTTGCCTCAGCCTCCAGACTGGCTGTGATTACAGGCGCCTTCCACCACACCTGGCTAAGTTTTTGTGTTTTTAGTAGAGACAGGGTTTGACCATTTTGGCCAGGCTGGCCTCGAACTCCTAACCTCAGGTGATCCATTCGCCTCAGCTTCCCAAAGTGCACACTATTCTGTTTGCAGACTGAAATATGAGTTGGCGAGGAAGACGTTATAGACCAAGACGATGTTTACGACTTGCTCAGCTGATTGGGCCTATGCTTGTGAGTGACTTAACATTTGATGTTTTCTACTAGCAGAAATTTCTTTTTGTGGTAGTGTTGTGGAATGAGTATAGATACGCGGATAAAGGTCTCCCATGTTGATAAAAAATGATCATGGCATCTCATGAAGGAAAGAGTAACCCAAGAGGACTACATAATAGTTTTGCCTGGGTGTGTGAATTTGTGTTCCTCGATTTGACTGGTGATTTCCTCCTCATCCTTATTCATAGCACATTACACCCACTCAATCCAACATAAATTAAAATGGCTTCCAAAGCCGTTGAGGGTAACGATCTTAGAGTAACCTCTCTATGGGAAGAGTAACTTAATGAAGAATAAGTACGTGGAATAGTGTTGGGATAGTGTTGGAGCATGTCTTTAAACATGCATATGATCAGAAGTTATCTAAGTAATCTGTGTATTCATATTATTGACATGCATTGATCAGAAATTTTTTTTTATCTGCGCATGCATACACACACACACACACACACCCTTGTCGCAGGAGCCCAGTATGCCAGAACCTCAACAAGAAGAATCACCAGCTGAAAGTCGGGATCGTACACCTGGTCAGAAGACAGAAGAAGATCAGGGTGCAGCTGAGATTCAAGGTGATGGGAAGGGAGGAGGATGGAGGGAGGAGGCTTATGTGTGCATCATGCCTTATGCCATGACAAGTAACAGGAGGAAAGAAACAATAGGAAAGGATGTCAAACATTTGCTGAGAGTTGGCTGGAACCGTGATGGGTGTAGCTTGCAGCTTCCTGCAGTTCCTGGATATGATGAATGTTCTCTTTCTCTTCGAGATTCATTTTGTGTACTTGAAAATATAGTCCTTCTTAAATCAGATGAAACCATTTAATTGGTAGTATAAAAATGCACATTATATCACCTGCTTAACTTGATATTCTTAGGATGTTGCAGTAAGACTTTCTTAGCCATGGTGTTCACAGTGTTGTAAGCACCCTTTGATAGCATGTGGAGTGCAAGTCACCCTACCTTGTAACACCCCAAATAAAGCCCATTTGCAAAGGGATGTTAACTTCATTTTATAAATAAAATTGAGGCCGGGCAAGGTGGCTCACACCTGCAATCCCTGCACTTTGGGAGGCCAAGGCGGATGGATCACTTGAGGTCAGTAGTTCGAGACCACCGTGGCCAATATGATGAAACCCTGTCTTTGCTAAAAATACAAAAATAGCTGTGCATGGTGGCACACACCCGTAATCCCAGGTGCTAAGCAGGCTGAGGCAGGAGAATTGCTTGAGCAAAGGTGGCAGAGGTTGCGTGAGCCGAGATTGCATCACTACACTCCATTCTTGATGACACAGCGAGTCTCTATCTCAAAAATAAATAAATAAATAAATAAGTAAATAAGAAAACTGAGGCTCAGAGATTGAGACTTACCAAGAATACCAAGAAAACTTGACTTATGGAGAAGGAATTCATATTTTATTCCAAGGTTTGCATTTTTCCTACCATCTATTTTAGAAAATGGAAATGATTTTGCTTAAAAATGCTTAACACTCAAATGAGTCTGTACTATAAGGTACTTCAGTATTGGCTCCGGACAAAATGCAGTTCAGTGAAGCAGGATAGCAATTCTAGAAAAGAGGTCAATTAATGAAAGCCACTGTTTCCTTTGGTGTATATTTTTGACAGTGTGTTTGGTAAAAGGTGGATAATTCAGGATGTTGGAGTACAGGTAACTATATTAGTAGGATTGTGAAGGGGCTTTTAAAAGTTGTTTCAATATTTTTATAATTAGAAAACTCCAAGTACGATAAGATTATCATGAAACAGAAATTGTTTTCTCAACAGATAGCATTTTCAAACTAATCAGAGACAGAATTTGGGCCATGGATTATTTTAGCAATTCCCTGTTAAGGGGTTTCCAGAATATGACTGTCAACAATGCCCATTAATTTCTTTGCGCTTCAGTTCCCGTACTCCCACTGGAAGACAGTGATTTTGCTGTTATATTTCGTACTTTTTTCTTAAGGACATTCATGTATGGAAAGTCACATATAGGGCCTTTGGATCTAAGAATTACTTTAATAAAGTTTAACCCCAACATTTTCAAGATACCTCAACAGGAGATGAGTGTCAGGACCATAAGATTTGTCATAGGCTCACCAATACATTGATCTAATCCTTCAGAAAATTACATTTAAGTTATGATTAAAATGCTACCCGTGAGGCTGTCCTCAGTTTTCCTAGGTAGCTGTGTGTTTATAATACACAATGGTAAAGTATGGGAAATGTAGATGTGCTGAGACTTATCCTCAGATTGTCATTTAAGGTAAGATATCATAATACAGGAAAACAAACGTGGGACATCTTTGCTTCACATTTATTACCACAGTAGCCTATAGGCTTTTATTGCATAACACTGAGGAAAAGAATAGGATCAGTTCCTTATTTATCATTCTTGTTTGGCTGCTCCAGTCGACATCCTTGGTATTTTTTAGTTCCTGACCTGGAAGCTGATCTCCAGGAGTTGTCTCAGTCAAAGACTGGGGATGAATGCAGAGATGGTCCTGGTGTCCTGGGGAAGATTCTGCCAAAATCAGAGCAATTTAAAATGCCAGAAGGAGGTATGTTACCCATTAAGATTCAAAATTACATGCTTTCTGTATGCCACAATATTATAGTTTTGATAATAAAAAGAGAGAATATTACTGCCCTTTTAAAAACAGAATTCAAATGCAGACTTTATTTGGAAGGTAGTTCAGACCCCACAAGCCTGTCTGCAAAACTGAAACACTATCAGATACAGACACAAATTGGGTCAAAGCCATATTGAATCATCAAATAGCAAAGCATTTTCTTACTTCTGAGTATAACCAACAGCTAACAATTTTCAGATTATTTTGTGATTTCTGCTTTTCACAAAAACATAATGCACTTGTAATACCACTTTGTATGAAATATGCTGATCCCTGAAGGAGATTCTCATACCAGCTTTAACATAATTTGTGAGATTCTGGACAAATCACATAAATCCTACACCCATTTTTGCTTTTATTGAAAGTAGTGAATGCACATCAGATAGATTAAAATCATTTCATTGCTGATTTCTGCATGCTCTGGTTCTGTTGGAGAGAATACAAAGATATTGTGATTTTCATGATTTGTTTGTCGTAACAATCAGCTTCAGTCTGATTATAACATCTGAGTTGAGATTTCATTGCTCCTAAGAAAATGTGCGGGCACTCTGCTTGATGTTTATTTTTAGGTATGGAGATCTTAATGAGTGTTCTTGGATTTTGTCATATCCTGAATTCTGTCAGGCTCTTAAACTATGATTGCATTTTTTTCTTTTTTCAGACGGAGTTTCGCTCTGCGGCCCAGGATGGAGTGCAGTGGTCCAATCTCGGTTCACTGTGACCTCCACCTCCAGGGTTCAAGCGATTCTCACGCCTCAGCCTCACATGTATTGGGGATTACAGGTGACTGCCAACACACCCAGCTAATTTTTGTATTTTTAGTAGAGACAGGGTTTCACCATGTTGGCCAGTCTGGGCTTGAACTCCTGACCTCAAGTGATCCACCTGCCTCAGCCTCCCAAAATGCTGGGATTACAGGTGTGAACCACCTCCCTCGCTGGACCCAATGATTGCATTTTGAAGTCTTCCTGCAGTGAAGCCTTGAATGACTGAATAATAAAATGGAAAGGGACAGTCAAGTTTTTATGGCCCATGAAGTAGGGAGCCTGCATGTAGGTCAGTGATGCTTAAGGTGGTTGGAAGATGCCTGTGCTAAGCATGCTCCCTGCCCTCCTGTCAGTCTTCATGAGCTACTGTGTGTAATTAGATTGAAGACACATTTGGTAACCTCTAACCATATCAGAGGTTATGTATTACAGGTTTCTGCCCTAAGTCATCAGATGATACGACTTAAAGTTCAAAGACTAAAACATACTAAGTCCTGAGTGGTCCACATAAGTATCTTTTACAAATGTTTTTCAAATTGCTGACTTAATTAGAAGAACTTCTGAATTTAAAAGAAGCACTGCATTTTTAGGGGAGAAATTATCTAAATGTTTTTACTCCACACTGCTGAACTGCTCCCTTAGACTAATTACATTAATAGATAGTTTGTAGACCATTTCCAGGAGCTTATTGAACAAGCCTCAATTATATTCTTAAGACGGTCGTAGCGTTAAATGCATATCTTATTAAAATAGATAACAAATTAAATGATACAAGAAAATAATACTAAGACATAAAAATAATAAAAGAGTCACAGAATAAAAAGGGAAAAGGAACAGGCAGTAAATGAAAGGTATGAATCATTAACAAAAGGAAAACTAATCCAAAAGTAATAAATTTAACAGATTATTCTTTTGGGAAATATCTAGGAAGAGAGCATCCAGTAGTTTAAACAATCTTGAAGAAAATGGAAAAAGCACAACACAGAATATGAACAAGACACAGATACTGAATGTAGGGCATAATTGACAGGGAGTACATTCTTGAACACTAATATTTTCAGAGTATGGATGAAATGGGTGACATCCTAGGAATGCCTACATTATTTGATATATGCCTGCAGTACCTGAATACCTGAAGATCACAAATACTGTGCATGAGCTTGTGAAATTTTCTAGTCGACCTTCAGAAACAGTTCCTTTTAGAAGGGAATATTTAGCTTTTCCAGCTCTCTTACTCTGTGTTTTCCTTTCCCTCTCCATTTGTTTTTTTTTTTTTAACACTCGTTATGATGTATAACTCTCACATTTTAATATCAATAATGATCATGATACCTTAAAACTTATATGATGATTTAATTAATTATACAAACGGGAATACGTTCCAGTGAAAAAAGTGTCATTATCCGTATTGTCATGAGGACTACAGGTGAAAACTGGGTGCAAATGTTTACTCTCTGTTAAAAAAAAACACACAGAGGGGTAAACTAGCCCAAAGCAATATTATTGCACTTCCGCACAATAGACAAAAAACAAGTGCAATCAATACTGGCCTTTCTATTCATTTCACTTACGTATTGTGAAATTTCATAATGTGAAATTTACTGTTTTCTCAAAAGATAATTGTCAGACTATTTACAGCAGCCTATTGGACAACCAGACCATAGTTTCAAGCCAAAACATTAAATTTTACATTTTTCACAAATTCCTTCTGTTGCTTAGGTTTTTTGTTTCCTGGTTGTATTTTGAGTAAAACTCTATATAGTGTTTGCTATCTACTTTAAGCCCCTTTTAATAGGTTCACTTGATTTAATGTGTTCTGATCTCAGACTGTCTTTTGTTTCTTTCTAGCACTAAAAGCAGGGTGTGTTTAAAAAATATTGCTTGTGTATATGCTTCGAAGTGTATCTTCAAAGTCTCTACAGAGGTTTAGTTGAATGCTAGCCATAGGGTGACTCTTAGGCTTCTGGTTTTGTCCATTGTATAAAACTGAAACTTTGGTGTCCTTTGTATACCTTTAATTTCATCTGAATACAGTTCTGCTAGTAATGTTCCCTCCTGTTATGTTTCTATTGCAGGTGAAGGACAACCACAGGTTTAAATGAAGACAAGCTGAAAAAATACAAACTGAATTTTTCTAAGATATTTGATTTTTAAAAATATCAATAAAGTTTTCCTGTTTTCTCCAAAGAAGTCTTGCACATCTTTTGTTCATTTATTCGGACACATTAGACGCTATTGGAAATTTTAGCTGGGTGCAGTGGCTCATGCCTGTAATTCCAGCACATTGGGATGCTGAAACAGGATTGCTCATGCTTGGGAGATTGAGACAAGCCTGGACAACATGGTGAAACACCCTGTGTACAAAAATAAATGAATGAATGCATGAATGTATGCATGTATGTATGCAGGTGTAGTCTCAGCTACTCTGGAGGCTGAGGCGGGAGGATCCCTTGAGACTAGGAGTTCGAGGATGTAGGTAGTCATGTTCACTCCACTGCAACTCCAGCCTGCATGACTGAGACTCTGTTTAAATAAAAAATAGTATCATTTTTACAACTTTGCATTCAGATTGAGCTGTTGATATTGTGAAATACATATTTGGTCCTGGACCCTGCTTCCTGTCATACAACTACAATTTTTAGAAACTCCACACAGTGTTGTTTTTTAGTATGCTAGTGAGTTGACTGATGGCTGGAAGCTCCTAGGTAGCTCTAGGATGGGGGATTAGAGGGTTGGGACTTTCAATCCCATATCCCACCTTCAGGACAAGAAGAGGGACTGAGCTAAGTTGATTGCCAATGGAAGGCCAACAGTTTAGTCAATCATGCCTATATAATGAAAACCTCCATCAAAACCCGAAAAGACAGGGTTCAGAGAGCTTCTGCCTAGCTGAACACATGGAGGGTAGCATGCCCATAGGCGACATGGAAGCTCCCTGTCTCTTCCTTCATTCCTTCCCCTATGTATCTCTTTATCTGCATCCTTTGCTAGGATATCCCATTTGCCACAAGATATGAGAGAACTCTCTAGGCTATAGAGCTGGATGAAAGAACTAGGGCCTAGGTAGAAGAAAGGGGAAAGCAACCAGGGCAACTTGCTGAAGCAAAATTACTTGGATCCTATCTACACTGTCTCCTTACAGGCCATGGCATGACATAGCCATGGGATTCCATCCTGCCTCTTACACACTGGCCTTGAGATGGTGGGCAAGATACTTATAGCTGAGGGGACTGTTTCCCCATTTCTAAAGCTGAAGTTAGAATATTTACACAAAATAGTTGCTATGAATAATAAATGAAATAACAAGATGCAGGCATTACATTGCAGATAAATTTAGTAGTTATCTTTCCTTAATGCCTTTAAAATTTCACATATTTTCATTCCATTTTTCTTTACAACTACATCTCTAGTGTGTGATAACTGCTTTGGAATTTCAAGTAGGAATATCAATCTACCTTTTTAAAATGCATTTGACTTCAGAAACTAATTTGATTTAAACACGTAAATTAAATAGCACTGTAGCTGGTATCAGAGTATCAGACATGGCATGGATTCTGAAGTTGATCTGTAAATAACTGAGATGTGACAAGGCCAACCCTATGTTAGTAGTATGTGCTGAAAACTTGTTTGGTGTGTGTGATGCAATGAAGAATAAGTCTATTCCGGTCAGTCAACACCACACAACTCAATATCATAACAACAGAAACAAGTGGTTTGGGGCCAGCTAGGGTGTGCAGTGAAGCTCATCATCCGAGAAAAGATCCTGTTGGTAGGTATGTTGGATTCTCTTCACTGTTTCACCCAAGCACGCAGAGTTACAAAGCAAACAGACACTGGAATGTTGTGTCAGAGTGGGATCCAAGAATGGAATGGCCTGCAGTGATGTGATTTTCCAAAGTAGTCAATAAGTCTTTCATAATTTCCCAGATGAAGCAACATATCAGCCTCCCTCAGTTTACAGGGAAGTGACATGTATGGAAAATCCAGTTTATTGAAGGCTCTGGAAAAAGATATTTGCCTCCCTGTAACGCTCAGTCCCCAAATGCCAGTAGATCCTACCAATCATTGCAACAACCACAGCTGTACTCGGAAACTTCCAAAATATCCCACAGTAGGCAATGATATTCTGCCTACAAACCACAAGTTTAGAATTGAAAAGAAGTATCCTCGCACTTCTTATTTACATCAAAAGAATGGGAATTTTGCCGTTGGTACAAAGGAAATAACACGGCACTAAGGAGGACACAATGTTCCCCAAGAGGGGTTACAGGCACCTTCCTCCTCTGTCTTGCTTTGCTTTCTGTGATAAGAAAGTGGTTCATGTGTCTGTTGTACCCTAGAACTTAAAGTATATATTTTTAAAAAGTGGTTCGGGGATATGCATGGTGGCTCACGCAGCCTGGGGTACACAGGGAGACCTTGTCTCGACAAAAAATTTTTAAAAACAGCCAGGTGTGGTAGAGCGTGTCTGTAGTCCCAGCCACTTGGAAGGCTAAGACGGAAGCATCGCTTGAACCTGGGAGTGAACCATGATTGCTCTACTGCACTCCAGGCTGAGCAACAGAGTGGGACCCCATCTCAAATAAAACAAAATAAAAGAAAGTGTTTCAGGGCCAGCTGGGGTGTGTGGTGAAGCTTCATTTCAAAGGTCAATCACTGCTATGGGACATTGATGTTCAGGATGGTTCCTTGGTAGTCACAGCTCTGAGATCCCAGGACTGTCCTTCTCGGCAAGGACAGCCCTTTCCAGGCTGGGACACAGGAGAAAGGAGCCAGGCTAGGTTGTCAGGCTACCATAGACAGCTGTCTGCTGTGGAATCACTGATGAGATCAGGAGAAGGACAGCTGAAAGGAGAAGGGAGACAACCTCCACAGGTGAGGGGCAGGTGTCTGTTAGTGAAGGAAAGACATTGGCTCTAAGTACTGACATTGCCCTATGCTCCCGTGGAAGAACATGATGGTGCCAGAAAGAATCTCAGGCTGGTGGGAGGAGCACGATAGCTTGCATCACCTCCCATCCTTTGTGTTCAGCGGTCCCTGAGAGGAGCCCATGCCATTTTGGGATCTAAAAGGTTGTTTTCTTACATTCCCCCCATTCATCACCCATGAAGAGAAGGGATTTGAGATAAACTGAGGCCTTCAGGGAGAAAGGCCAGGCAGAGTTGTGAGGCCTTCTCAAAAGTCTCTCAGCCCTACCCTTATGGTGAGTTTCACACTGCATTCATCTTGGCCTGTGTTCCTGTGTGCTCTGGGGTCACTCTTCTCAACCTCATGTCTGTCCTGGGAAGAGTGGGTATATTGCAGACAGTCTTGCTACCTAAGCGATTTAATAAGGTTTCTGAAAGTTCCCGAGGCTGGGCAGTGAGTTCCCAGATCCTAAGGCACTATTGTGGTCACACTACATGAGATTTAGCAGGTGTAAATCATGGAATCTTTACTTTTAAAGGATCCCAGTTTCCAACTTTCATGGAAACTTGTCTGAGAACTAGTAGAGCAAGGGAATAGTCTCCTTTCCCAGCTACACAGTTTATTTCTCCTTTGTGAAGGTATAGAAGGGACAGGTTTGGTGTGTTCTCGGATGTACAAATCCAAGACCTTCAGGTGAGGAGACTGACATGTTGCTTGGTATTGTAATAACACCATCTCCAAATGATACCCAGGACAGTCCTTTCAAGTCTCCATCCCTTAACTATTTCTGAAGAAATCGAATGTCTCTTACCTGTGCAGTCTCATGCTATAAAATTCTAAATAATTTGCAATAGCCTTTGGATCTTACTCTTGATTGCACTAATATGCAGCACAGTAGAATTTTTCATGATGCCTCTGACCTATGGCTCCAGCACTCACTGCTGGGTGACACTGAGAAAGTTACTTAACATCTCTGTGACTCCTTTCTCCACTAGTACCATGGAAATGCTACTAGTAAATTCATCTACTTGGGGCAGTTTAGAGCACTGACTGTAGTGAAGACATGTACAGTTGTGAGGACAATCCATGGCATATGATAAGTTTCCAATGATTTCTAGCTGTTACTGTTTTGCTGTTAATATTGTTGCTGTTCCCACATTTCCCTGGAGCATGTTCCAGAGATACAGTGTCATGACTACCTTTGACCCCTTGGATGATCTTTTGATTATCACTTCATTTCCTCGGGGACTCAAGGACTGAGTCTGTGGGGCAGGGCGAGGTAATATTTTTATGAGCGTAATGAATATTCAGCTTTCCTTATAGGGTATTGTGGAGCCTAAATGTGATGCTGGGGTTTCATCATCATGAGCCTGTATATAAAATTTGAATGGAAATTGTTCTAGAAAATTGGAACTCTAATGACTTCTTCATGTAATATGTATAATGCTTGAAAAAGTAACTAGTGACTGGATAAGGATAGCACATAAGTATATAAATAATTAAAAGATTATGAATTTTATATTTCATAGTTTCTGCTTTTTGTGTCCCAACGGTCTTTGTTTTACACAATGCCACAGATTCTCCTACATTTTCTTCTAGACGTGTGATAACATTAGCTTTTACATTAAGTTCTATGATGCATTTTGAGTTAACTTTTGTATATGGCGTGAGACAAAGGTTGAGGTTCATTTGTCTGCATGTCAATGTCCCATTGTTTCACCATCATTCTCTGAATACAACATCCTTTCCCACTAAATCATCTTGGCACCTTATGGAAAAATCAACTTAATGTGAATATACACGTTTGGCCCCTTATTTCTTTTCTTATGCCAATATCACACTGTCCTGATTATCACAGTTATGAAATACATCTTGATAATAGGTAATGAGTCCTCCAATATTCTTTGTTCTTTATGTAATTGTTAGACTATTCTAGTCCCTTTGCTTTTCCACATAAATTTTGATGTCAGCTTGTCAATTTACAGAAACAAAAGTCTTCACGGATTTTGATTGTGTTTACACTGAATGTATAGTTTATTTGGGAGAAACTGACATATTCACAATCATGAGCGCTGCAATCCATTAACATGGTATACCTCACCATTGATTTCAGCCTGCTTTAATATTTCACAGCAACGTTTTTTAGGCTTCTGAGTACAGGTTTTGCACATTTTTTTTTAAATGTTACCACTAACTATTTCATGGTTTTTTTCTCTGCTATATTAAGTGGTATTGATGTTCAATTTTCAATTCTTTGTTGCTGGTATATAAAAATCACG